CATTTCATTAAGATCTACTGCATATTTATGTAGGGCAAATAACTCACAATCACTTGCTTTCTGCTGGTGAAACAGCTACACACAAATCAACCATTATTTTCTTGGATTTATTTGTTATTTTAATTTGACAGGTATGTTTAGTTATTTCTATGGCTGAATGGCAAAAATTACAAATATGCTCTGCAGTGCTGGTTGTGATGGATTAAAAAGAAAAAAATTCCATAGGAACGTTTCTATATTTTGTGTAGGTGAATGTCAAATAACTCTTAATGTAAAGAGCAAGTTCAGCTTTTTCCAAAACCTGAACGTGCAATCTAGATGTTTAATTTTTGTAAAAGTCACATGGATCGATGCTAATAGTAGATGCATGCAGAAAAAGTAAGAGTACCTTCCAGGAAAAGCCATTTAACAAATAAGGAACTGAAACTAATAGGTACAACAATATTTTACAGTACTCAGAGAGCTCTGATTTTTCACACTGCATAGGTAATGTAACCACTAGGAAAATAAATGTGTACTGACTTGCAGAAGTGTTAAATGTTACATATGTGCTGATGCATTCCTGCATTTTTTTTTTAAAAAAATTAATCTCAATGCTTTATTTCTTCCTCCAAGAGCACCTTTAGGGCTATCAAGAAGGATATTACCCTCAATTTGCTAAGTGGCCCCAGGACGCCAGGAAAGCAGCTTGCAGGTCTAGTGATATGAGCTATTATCTCATGTGTGCCTGGGAAATATTTAGACAGAAATGCAATGAGCCTACATTATCATGACAGATGAACCTCTGAGCTTGTGGTATTCTGAATGCCAATGCTAAAGTATCCTATAGCCAAAGCCTACAAGAGATAAAAGGCAGAAGCTGAACAGGTACAGAACTGAGTTCTGGTGAATCAAGAACAAGAAATGGCAGCAAATCCTCACAGAAAAAGCAATGAGTGTGTCATTCCATGTGGTTCCAGTGGGGTTCAAAAGGGGTGGTTGCTCAGCCAGGTTGGCTCCCCCTCTGCTCTGCTGCTCTGTCATTCTCCTCACATATCTGTGCTGCATATTCCTCTTCCCTTTGCCATGAATCATTTCACTTCCTTGCTTGGGACAGATTTTGTAGACTCATAGAATGGTTTGGATTGGAAGGGACATAAAGCTCATCTTGTTCCACCCTCTGCCATGGGGTGGAACCATTCCACACCTTCCACTAGCCCAGGTTGCCCCAAGCCCCATCCAACCTGGCCTTGGACACTTCCAGGGATGGGGCAGCCACAGCTTCTCTGGGCAACCTGTGCCAGGGCCTCACCACTCTCACAGGGAAGAATTCCTTCCTAATATCAAGCTCTGTATATTCCTATTCTGGGTGCCTGGCTGCCCTCAGTAAGGTAGGCTGTGCAGGCTTATTCAACAGCACCTGCAGGAATGCCTCACCAGAGGAGCACTCACCTGAATGCCAAGATGTGATTCAAGCAGGGGAAACGTGCAGAAACCCAAGAACCAGCTCCATATATTTTTATGATGAAAGGCTATGGCTGACAGTGCTGAGATAGCCCAAAGCTCAAAGAGACCCAAACCCATATACTTTAATTCTTGAAATAAATGTGCTTACTTGGGGCTAGAATCCTGCAAGAAACATTTCCTGTCCTCTAAGTAATAAGGAACAGAAATTGAATACAGGTGCATTCTGCAGGCTGGCCCTCTCTTGCCCTTTCTTGTTCAGCTCTTAGGACCACTGAGCAGCATTTATGCATCTACTCTACAGTATGTTCAAAGTGTCAGCTTTTGCCAAATTATCATATAAATTCACTACTGGTAATGGACATTATGTGCTCATGACACTTTCTGAAAGCTGTATAATTACTTCTGTATTTCAATTAGGAATGAAGTTACTAATTTATTCTTTGTCTGCAGATTCTTCCTTTGATTTTGTACTCAAACAGCAGAAAACACTTCATATGAAAATCATTCAGACAACAAAATTTCCCCCACTTGGGAGTTTGAAAACCTCCAATTTCTGCTTTGGCTTCATTTTGTGCAAAAACAGTGGCTTTCCTGATATTTAAAAGCTCTTCTTTAGCACAGCCCTTATCCAAGCCCATTTTCTTGGGCTCACTGCTCTGCTAAAAGAATGACAAAAGATAGAAAGCTTTTACCATTTAAAGAGAAAGACAAGGTGAAAAATATCTTGAAACATTGCTTTTTATAATACTTTTTTTTTTCCTCCTATCATCTTAACATTTACTTTTTTAAATGACAAAAATCATATTGGCACCAAGCCAGTTCTGCAGCCCCGGTGCTCAGGGCCATCACCAAAGACTCTCAGTGTTTTGCACACACAGCAGCACCTCTGCCCTTAAATTCACCAAACAGATTTTTTTTTACACTAGAGTGTTCCAGCTGGACACACCCTGTGACTTTGTGTCACTTATGACCACGTTGAGACAGGGTAATTCTCACAGGGTTTCCAAATGGCACCCACTGTAATTTATATTGAGCCCTCAGGCTGAGTATTTTGGAGCTTGTATCCAAAAGGAATTCATGCCCTGGCTCAGTCTATTGCATCAACTCTGCATTCTTTCCTGAGGGAAGCTTTCCAAGCTGCTGTTAAAGACTGCATTAATCTAGAGACTTTCATCTGCTCTAGCACTTGCTGTGTCCCTGTTATAATATCTACAGAGTTATTATTTTTGCCATGACATGGGGACACTTTTTGTAGGACTTGGAAGAATTTGAGGTCACGTTAAATGTCAAGCCACGAAAACAGAGACCATTCCACGCCAGCCTTTCCCTATATGAATTTTAAATATAAATTGGAAAAGGTTGGGGAGCGTGGGAGAATGTGTAGCTTTATTTCTTACGTCTCAGAGTCTCCAAGATCCCTCACAAACACGCTTTTATAGGGTGGGAGAACTCTGAGACAGTACAATAAATCAGCAGAGCGATAACCATAGAAACAGGCAACCCTGCTGCTCTCCCTTCAGTGTGTACGTGGCAGAGGCACCAGGCATGAGCAGTGCAGGTGTTGGAACAGCTGGATGGCACCAAAAGGCAAAAGAGGCTCATTCTCCTCCTCCGTTGGCGTGGTCATCCCTGGGACTCAAGAGGGAGAGGCTTGGTTGCCAAGTCTAGACTTAGAATGGCAATTGGCATGTTAAAGGCACTGCTTAAAGTTTTAAGAGCTTTAAATATTAACTTGGTTCAACTCGCATCACACCCTTATGGTTATTGCTGTAGAAATTTTAATGTGTTTCCAGCAGCAAGTTGGCTCAAGAGTTTGCCATGTTTCTCTCAGCAACTCACAGGCCACCACTCTGTGTCTGGAAACAAGAGTCACCTGCTCTAATGAACCACCCTGGGTACACAACTCACACAGTTCTTACCAAAAAAGAATGTCTACAGATATGAGGGGAAAGTCTGCTCCTCCTGCTATTTATCTAAACAATCAGTGCTCGTGGCTCACATCAGCAATCTGTCAGACTACTGAGCTTCGAGCTCCTGCTGAGCCAGAGGCTGGACTAGATGACCTCCAGAGGTCACTCCAAACCAGAATTATTTTATGATTCTGTGATAAACTCAGTACTCATCAGAGACAGAAGCAGTAGCTATAGGGAAGTATTTCTGATACTGTGTCTTTTAAAGCAAAATAACAGATACTGCCTAACTTGACAGTCACAATTTGTTGTTGAAGTTTTAAATCCTGACATTTATAGAGCTCCTGTAAGCACTCCAGCCAGTCATCCCTTGATATCAGCTCAGGGAAAGGAGAAAAACCCTGGTTCCTTCTGCACTGAGAGTGGGTGCATAAATCAAAGCACCTGTGATTATTGTGACAGCTTGCCAGAGGTGAACTAAACTCTGAATGCAAAGCTTGCTATTTTAAATAAAGTCAGACAACTAACAATGAATTATAGCTGGGAAAGTTAGATTTTCTGAGACAAAAGACTATCTATTGTTCCTCTAGATCACACAATGTAAGTAAAGCTCATGCTAACATGGCAAAAAAGCCACTCTTCTGTCTAAAATCCACAAATTTTTTCCTGCTATAAACTATATTCTTCGTATTTTCCTGTGTCTTGAAAACTAGACCTGCTCACACAGGTCCTCTGATGCTCCTCCACTGAAGAGGAACATCAGAGTAAGTGGCTTCTCAAGATGTGTTTTCTCATGCTGATATTCAGGTAAAAAGGCCTCTTGTTACCAGAACAGCTAAAGTCACTGTTGAATATGCACAAAGTGAGTGACAAACCACTGAAGAAGCACAGGCTTAGTGTGCTGAATGACTGCAGAAACAGCTGTAAGTGTTATGTCTACAAGTGTTCATATTCTGTACATCCCAAAGCCTCCAAAGGCATCTGCACAGTGCTCAGAAAAAAAAAACCATAGGTATGTTGCAAGACTTTGTACAAAAGGGTTTCTTTTTAGATCTCCTTTACCTGATTCTTCTACTAAATAAATGTTACAGAAAACAGTTAGGACAGCCTAGCTTCATCAGCATCAAAAATAAACTCCTATTTTCTCTCTTTAATGGCTTTTACAAATTATTTTAACATTCAATACCAACGGTCAAAGCATGCACAGTTAACTGCCCACAGTATTTATATTTTTTTTTAATTTTCTGATGTTTGCTCTCAACCACTGTGACTGTGTGCCACATTTTGTCATATTTATTGTCCACACCAGCGGTGGAACAGAAGATTTATTCTAAGTGAAACATTTCAATTTCATCCCTGAACTCTAACAGTACTTTTCCTATGCATATCTTTCTTCAGGGCAATAGTGCAGGAAAGGGTAAAGCATTTAAGAACACTTTTTTTCCTTTGCTCAAAACTTCCCCAGGGGCATTCAAAGTGTGGACCAAAGTAGCCTGTGAGGCCCCTGACAAAAAGCTGCAGGGTCTGCAGGTCCCTTTGGTGTTGCACAGAGCTAAACAAATGGTAGCCAAACACATAATAACAGCCAGATGTAACCCAGGGAGAGTGGTTTTCACCACAAATATTAATGAAGTTGTCACTTACAAGTTCTTCACATCGATGATTCCTCGAAAGGCTTTTCTAGGGATTCCTTTTATCTGATTTTCACTCAGGTCCCTAAATAAGGGAAGAGGAAAAAAAAATACACTGTATTAACAAAGAGAACACATTTCTCAAATCTACATGAGATAATGGAACATCCACGTGCTTGGAAAAGTAGATGTTTCTGGATTTGATACACCACATGATGTTTTCAATTTTCTTTCACTCCTCTAGAGGTCTGTGGAATGAGCTGAAATGACTCCACAACAAAACCCACCAGAATTCGTGATACCAGTGACAGAACTTCTAGAAAACATCCCTCACATGTAGTCATGACACTGGCACAATGCAGGATTTGCTGTCAGAGTACCTGCAGCCAAACCTGGTGCCTTGGAATTACAACCCTGTAGTGTAAATGAAATTTTCTCAGTATGCTCCTGTTGGTTTACTGACTGCAAAAATACTTGGCTACCCCTGCTCAGTTTACAGCCTCTTATTTGAAATTAATATTCAGGAAAAACATGACAATCATTCTCTTGTAAGCTTTGTAAATTCACAGTGAAAAGATTTTAATCCACCACATTAAGAACCCCACTGCAGTGTGAATCAATAGCAACAACTGAATTTTTAACCTTGCTTAAAAACAAATAACCAACATCAAGTCAAAAAGCCTTTCTAGTACTAAAACATTACAAATGTTTCCATTTGTATTATTACATCTTCATTGTGAGTTCAGGTTATAGTTTCCTGTCACCCAACCTGCATTCAGGTGCTTTTTCCCTTTTTGCACCATAAGTATTTCCAAATCTGCAACCCTCCAGCAGTGCAGGTGCAGGCAGGAAGGAGGGCATCAGGAATGGGAGGGAGATGGACACAAACCCAGAAAGCTGGGATGTTTTCATGCTAAGGAAAAGCAGCACTCACCCTGATTTCCTTGCTGGTGCCCTGTCAGCAGGGAGGAGAGGGAGCAACTTCAGCCTGGTTTAGGTTACAAAGCCGGGGGTAAGAGAGTTGTGTAAGAAGGGGACACGAAGGCAGATGAGTGGGAAAGAAAAATATAAGAAATGAGCAAATGGAAGGCAGGGATGGCTGGACAAAAGGACAAAGAAAGGTGATACTGCAGCCCAGGGAATTACACAGTGCATCGTTTTGGGTGACTGTGTCCCTGTGTTACACAAGCCCAGCATTTTGCCCCCTTTTCAGAAAGAAACTCTGGATTTCTAATGACTATTAAGAGGGAATGGCAGGAATCTGTACTCACCCCCAGACACTCTTTTCTGTAAGTACATTTAGTGTTGCAGCAAGCTCCCTTTCTAGCCTCTCCCAAATTGGTTTTATCAAATGAGAGGCCAGAAATCAGAGCCTGTCACAAAAGCCCACATTGACACTGTGGGTCAAGATGTGTCACACAGGCCTTTCTTCTGCTTTCCATCAGGCAGATAAGAAAAAAAAGGGGACTATGTCCTTGTCATGGGACTAATTCAATTTATACCAGTCATGCAGTCTACACCAAATTCTCAAAGTAGGTACAATTGTCCATTCAGACTATCACAAACAAAAATGTGCTGCTGCATACAAGTCCCTTTTTCAAGTCAGATTAAAATTCTTTGTGACCTTCACAATTTGTTTAACACTGATCCACACTCTGACCTCTCCTTCACCTCCCCTTTATTTTGCCAGCAACAAAATATTCGTTCTTTTAAAGACAGACCTTCAACCCAGACAAATGATCTGGCAACCCAGAGAAAGTAAAGGGTACTTCAGACCCAGAAGAAGGAAGTCTTATGCTGAAGACCGATTTCATGACAGGGAGTCACTTTGGTGTGACAGTGAGGCACAGCAGAGCCCCAGCCAATGGGAAAAGCGTGACAAAATGGCTTAGGAAGGCAAAAATTAGTCAGATCTGAAGGGAAGACGCACGCAAAGCAGAACAAAAAGGGCTTGAAAAAGTAGAACTGTGTGGTCAAAGAAAACCACACTAAATCCGCCAGTGCCTCAAGTTGCATTTGTCTGGCATTTTATTGTGCATTATTTCAAATCATGTTTAAAAATAAGTTAGGTTTAAAAGTTATTTTTTCTAGCATTACTGTGTTCTAAAAGGGCTAATTTATGTTTTTGCTTTCTGCTTTTTCTTTATGCTCAACTCTCAACCTGCAGTCAGCAAAACCAGGGGACTGTAGGAAGTTCATCCATTTCCTATGAAAACCATTCTTGTAAACTGTATTATTTTCATTTTCTATTAGGCACTCTCCTCTAGGTACCACTACTGCATAAATCTCTCCAGTGGGCTGAAGAACTGCCAGCCTTGCATGGCCCTAATGACACAGCATGGAGGAAAATTCACCAACGCATATTTAGTTTTCTTTAACTGCCTTCTCACAGTTATAATGATCCCATTTTGAAGAGGCCAAGAAAAGTGTTTCTTTCTGCTTCCTGATACTGTGCCAAACCTTTGTTAAGCATCTTTCATAAGCAAGCAAACCTCAACCAGGCTCAGCCTGGGCACTTCCAAAATTTGCTCCGAGAAAGCAGAAGGTTGTTAACAAGCAACTTGTCTACTGAGTTTACCTTAAATTTCCAGCTTTTCACTCCCTGCAGGCAAAATGAGAAGCTCACACTGACAGTATGTAAAATAAATATTAGTTATTCATAGTAACTGCAGAAAACCAGGTGAACAGAGGTGAGGCTAAAACAAAACCCTTTAAAAAAAAGGAAAAATATTGCAGTATTCAAGAAAAAATGAACAAATCTGAAGAAAAATAAATTATGATTGCTAATACATTTCCTATTTCTTAAGCAGAAGTTTCAAACTGCCTAACTCTGTAATGGAAGGCAAGTGCAATGCATGGGTACATGACATATCCTAAGGAGGAAATCTGAAAAATTCCAGCTTTAGAGAAGAAAAGACTTCCAAAAATCCCCCTCTAACATGCAGTGTTAGCTGACCAAAAGCACTTGACCTAAGAATAAACTAAAATGTGCCAGTCCATCAGCATCACCCTCCTTCACAAAGGTTCCTCTGTGGAGAAAGCAGCGAGCCCACCACAAAGGAAACACCTTCATGATAAAATAGACACATTGAGAGAAGTAAATGTTTTGAGATTAAATTATCCTTCCTGTTATTTTGATAAATACAGGCAAATTTCATCCAATTTAATCTGCAGGCAGAGCACACTGCACAGAGATCCAGCAACCAGCCACTGCCTCAGCACAGTGCAGTGACCCCCTGGCTCCCTCATCCCAGTTTCTGATGGAAACACTCTTGGAAAGGCCTGGGCAGCAATCCCAGAGGAACCAGTGAGGGGAACAGCACAGCAGGCAACAGTACTGGACACGTTCAACCAAGAGCTACCCCAGCCAGCACTGTGTGCTGAACCCCCAAAGAAAGGAACATTCTCCTTTCTTAGATGGAGAAATGGAGCCACGGGGATATTAAAGAGCTTGGACTTCAAGTCTGCACAATCAGAGCTGTGGGATCTGACAAAATCCAGCAGCTGTGGCTCACGTGCCCTCCCAGCACGGCAGACCACACGTTAGTCCAACCCAGCCTCGAACAGGAGTTGGCACAAGTCAGTACATTTTTTTTTTTTTTTTTTACTTTTTATTTTAATTTTGCTAAAATGCTTTGGACACAGATTAACTCCCTCTGCAAGTCTAATATTGTTTTCCTGATCTTCAAGCGTGCACTGAAAGAGCCTTACTGATAAAAGGATTGGAAAAGGGGAAAAAAAAAGCACCCAAAAGTGCTGACGTTTCCTAAGTGCCTCTGCAGTCTTTGCCGTAGTGCTGGTTTTAGCTTCCTGCTTTAACACTGCCTATTGCATCCCAAGTGAAAATGCAACTCTCTAACAGAGCAATAAAATACATTAAGACCCTTTTTTTATTATTTTGCCAGTGACAGAACATAAATCAGTTAATTGGAACACAGACCCTACGAACATTCATAAAATTAGTGTCTTCGTTTGAACTACAGATTTAAAACATTAAAACAGCTACTTTGATACAACCTGCAAAGCTCCAGTGGTGCTGGAAATACCATAGATTATATAAAAATCAAAAAATCAGCAGTGATAACATTATGTTGAGTCTTATGCTTAGTCTTCCATATGCTTGTCTCCCTTTTCAAATACAAACAAAAAACCCCCACTCTTTGAGCGCTGACAAATTATTTTCCCGATCTTTTATGACACAGAGATTCTAAAATTTTAAAAGACTGGTTTTGCACAACTCCCTGAAAACCAGCTTAAGAAGTATTTATTGTGGTTGAACACTACTCTTTAATTATTTCTCCCGCCCAAATGGGCAAACAGAGATCACACTGCAGTGTTATCACATAAAGAACTAAGCTTGCCTTTAATGTCTAAAGAGTTTAGTACAAAGACTTAAAGAATAGTCCCCAAGAGCAAATGCTTCACAACCCAGTATGTATCTTTCCCAGTATGTTACTGCATGTTGATTCCATAATAAAACTGCAAACTCACAGAGTTAACCATTAACACATGGAACCAATGGTTTAGCTAAAATGAAGGACAAATCCAGAATAACTAAGCTGATTCCTTCAAAGTACCTTTTAGCTTGTCCACCATTCAATTGCTTCTTGCAATAAGAAAGAAGAGCTCACACACAACTCTCTGTAGAAGCTGATACAAAACCAGAAGGCAAACACTGGTATATGGGGCTTGAGGGTGCAAGATTTGCTTCCCATCAACTCTTCCTGACAAAATAACAGGGAAAATTAATGAGGTTTGCTTGCTTTGCAAAATAAAATCAATGAAAGGTGTGAATGCTGACTTTAAGAAAGTGTCAGCTGCCACCAGTGCTAAGAAATCAGCCCTGTGCCCACTAACTTCACTCCAGCCATAGAATGTGCAGCTGAGAGAAATGAGAATTAATTCATCCATGTTGGTAGCTTGTTTACATTTTTTCACTAAATAGGATTTCTGGGTTTAAAACATTTCAGTCTCATCCACTGATTAAAATAAAACAAAATAAAATAAAATAAAATGTTTCAGAGGTTTTGTGCACTTAAGTTCAGTGACTGTTCTTCAACCCAACTTTTCTTTACAACTGGACTA